GCAAAAGGAAATTTATAATATATCTTATATTTTAATTACAAAAGAAAATATAAAGAAATAAAAGCTAAATTCAAGAGTAATAAAGAAGAGTATAAGCAACTAAATCTAATATTAGAAGAAGTACTAATAAAAAAAGCAAATAAAATGAATAGTGATAAGCAAAAAGAGATGCAAAGAGTAGAAAGCCAGAATACAAATAAAAAAGAAAGAGAAAAGCAAGCAAAAATAAAACTAGAAGAAATAGAGAGAAAAAGAGATGAATTAAGAGAAGAACAAGCTAAGATCCAAATAAACTAGGCTATAAACAAAGGAAAAGGAAAGATAGTGTACGAAGAAGACAAAATAGAGAGAGAAGGAAAAGCATAAGCAAGAAATATTACTATAGAAGTAAAAAAAGAAGAAAATAATATAAGATATCAAGAAAATGAAGAGAATAGAAGAAGAAGTATTTTTAAAGAAAAAAGAAAGCAACACTATGATGAGGAGAACAAAGAAAGAAGTTTACAAAAAAAGAAAAGAGAAGAAGCTAACAAGAAGAAAAAAACTGAAAAGAATAGTAGATATATAAGTAACATGAAAGGCTAAGAAAATAATAATATATCAATAGTATATATAGTTTGACTTATTTATGAGTTAGAGGAAAAAGTAAGTAAGTAAAAGCAAAATATTCCTAATCGCTTCTGAAATTAGCTAAGATTCAACTACAAGATGCCTATATAACTTATAAAGAAAAACTTAAATATACAAAAAAGATACATAATAAACTAAAGTATTATTAGAAAGGCAAAGGAGCAAGAAGAAGAGGTAAAGAGAATTGAAGATGAAGAGATGAAGTATTCATAGAAAAGAAAAATCAAATTTGGAATACATAATATCAATAAGCTAAAAGAAGACATATTAAAATTAGAACATTTAGCAGATTATTACAATAAAGAACAATTTAACTTAGTAGGTATTGTAGAAACAAATATAAGTAAGAAAGAAAGCAAATAGTTTGATACAAAGAATGAATTATATAAAAGTTTTTGAATGAATATAGAAGAAGATAAAAATAAAGAGAATTTACAAATAAAGACCTAAAAATGTAAAATATTTACATATAAAGGCCTCATTTTAGAAAATTTTACTATATCTCATGATACAGTAAACAAAATTTAGTGATTTTGATAACATTCAAATCGTCTTGTTGAGACAGATTGAATAGTACTAAAATCGCTAAATTTTAATAATAAGATAACAAGATATTATATTATAACTTAAACAGACTTTAGAAAATATTAAATAACTCGTAATCTAGTAATTAAAATTTGATAATTTTCACCAACCTGGCTTGGCGGCTAACTGGATTGGGAGGATCTGCCTCATGAAACATCCGAGAAGATAGATACAGAAAACTGGTGGAGAGCCACGGTAGGAACTGGAGTTGTACGAACATCTACAAGGGTCTAAGCTAGATGAGTCCGTGAAATGGGTACGGGCCGCTCTAGTAGGTTTGCTTCGAGGTTAACCGGAGCTCTGCAAAACTCACAATATGTTGAGTACAAGTATCCCGAGAGGACCTAAGCTGAAGTCGATAAATGGATCTGCAACAAGCTAGCTGGCTTAAGCGGTTAGATATTACAGTGACGTTAGTTTGTAACGGTATGGGTTAGTTGAACAGAGTGTTTAAATAGGTAACTCACAGG